TGAACGCGTGATGTGGCGCTCTCGGTGCAAAATGGCTGTTTTATGAATGTGCACAGCCGAATCGAGAGGGCCAGGTGGATGCTGAGGTCCAGTCCGGCCGGGTCCTGTGCAAATACTGAACCAAAAATAAAAACCTTGCCCCAAGGAGCTTATGATTTAAATAATTTCAGTAGATGGGAGGGACTGAGCTGTGCGGGGGAAGGAGGGGAGCCGGGGTCTTTGGGTTGCAAGGAGCCGAGAGAGCAAAAGCTGCTGCGTACGGGGAGCAGGACGTGGGGCGGAGGCAGATCCTGCTTTTGGGGCCTTGCAAAGCCCTTGCTCCAGCTCAGAGCTCACACTTTTCAGAAATAAGAAATGTGCTCCAGCTGCGGGCCGTTGCAGCTCACTTCCTCAGTTTCTCACCCGTAAAGCGAGGAGGTACGTTCCCCTCCATCAGCTCCGTCCCTGCGCTGCCACGGCCTCTGGGACCAGGCAAACAGGAAGGGGAGGTTTAATAGCCCCTAAATTTTAGCCTTGACGTCCTTCTCGCCTGCGTTGGACGGCTGAGTTATGAAATGTCGTAGCAAGGTCAAGAGCGCGCGGAGCAGTGCCGGGAAGGAGGCTGCGCAGAGGCACCGCGGGAAAGCTGCCGCGCGGGGCCAAGGCAGCGGGGGCTGCAGGTCCCACGCTCGTTTGGCAAAGGTTTGGGCCCTGGTGACCTTTAAAAGCATTTACAAAAAAAAAAAAGGAAGGAAAAAGAAAAGCAGCTACTTTTATGATGCTTCAGCTTGTCTTGCGTCTGTCCTGCAGAATCCAGCCAACAAACTGGGCTACTTCTTCCCCCAGGCAGCTGGCGCAACATGGAGAAAACCCTCACTGCTCTTCTTTTTTTTTTTAAGCACCCTGGAGAAACCAGAGTGGCAGCACTTAGCCCGCGTTTCTCCTCCTTTCGCAGGTTTGGCTGGTGCGCCCTGCGGTGCCAGCTGGGCATTTATCCCGAGATGCAACTTCAACACCAGATCTCTATTAAACATCATCATTTATTTTGATTATGGATAGCTCTTTCATTTCAAACAGAATTGTTTATTCACTGCAAAGTTTTTTCATGCCTGGTGGAAAGAATTAGCATCAATTAAAAACAAAAAAAAAAGACTCGGATACATGCAAATCATACTGAACTTTGCCAAATGTGCTAAAACGAGTGGCAGAGTTTCTTCTAAGTTACCTACTTGCATACGGCGGAGAAACAGCCACCAGCAGCGTGACGCCCCGCTGGGAAAGGCATGTGGCTTCCAAGTGCAGTGATAGTAAACGAAGAGAGGCAAAGGGAAGACCAAAAAGTCTGTGTTTACACTCAGAAAAAGCCAAGCCTGCAGGTCACTGCTCACACCTGAGCCGGGAAAATGATGCTGTAAAACTAGTCGAGGGAGGGAGCTGAACAGAAACAAAGGGGCTCCCTTTTAGCAAAGGAGGTCATGTTTGGTCCTTAGATATGAAGAGTTTCACACAGGTTTAGGAACATATGAAATTCTGAAAGCCGACGGGCATGTTCCAGCCCTGGGGCAATCCATTTTCCAACAACAAAATCAAGTCCATGTCCCTAAAAAAAAAACAAAAAAAAACCCCAAATATTTTAGAAACAAAGCACTTTTGGTCCCTGGGGGATGGACACAGCCAAGTGACCTAAAAGCCTTTCTGAGGCTTTAAGCCTTCAGCTGACTTGTGTCCACCCAGCCCAGAGTGGCAGTGATATAGGGAAAACCCAGGGTTTTTTTTTTGTTGTTGTTGTTTTTAACTCTTTTATAAACATGCAGAATCGTGGTTTCTTGTGCCGGCAGCAGCAACAAACCTGAGCTGAGCCCCAGGTCCAGCCTCAGCTCCCAAAAAGCGGCTCGAGTTCACGCTTTCCGCTTTGCTGCTGCAAACGCCGTGTAACCGAACTGAGCCCGCAGGAGCTGTCACAGCAGCCTGACTAACGGCAAACGGGCTTTTAACATCTGGAGAAATACGGGACGGGTGAGGAGCGCCAGCCCAGTTTCGGCAAGGCTAGAGGGTGAGGGCGAGACCTCCTCCTTCGCGCTGCAGAAGGCGAGCAGCCCTGGCTAGCGCGCCTGGGGTGTAAATCTGCTTTATCTGTCCAGCTATGCCAGTCGTCGGCAATTCCTGAAGTTGGTATGGAAAAGCCGTATGTTTTGCCCTGGTGGCCATCCTCTTTGGAGGACGTCCTGTCTGTCCGTAACGCTTGAGAGGGGCCAACCGGGGTTTCGTTAGCTCCGGTGCGAGGCAGACGGAGCCCATCTCTGCAAATGCTCCTCACCTTTCTTCTCCGCTGTTGTGCTCTTCAAAGGACTGGTATTACAACACCTTGGTGATACAGGTATTTTTGAGAGGTTAAAAGGCATAGCACGTCACTAATGTTTAAAAAAAGATGGGTCTGGCTTTTATAAAATATAAAGTATTCAACATGATCACATTTATGTCTCCTTTGAAAAGAAAAAGGTTGACATTCATAGTCTGGAGGCAGTCGGCAAGTCTGGACTCTCAGTGCATCCCACCGCGCCGACGGACCCTCCGTCCTGGCCTCCATCACCGAGGCATCAGCTCGAATTCGTTGCTGTGTAACGCGCCCTGCCGAGCGCCCCGGGGCCAACCATCACGTCTGTGTGGCCGCGGCTTCTTCCACGGAGCCGCATTTATTCGGGAGCGTCCCGCCCTGGCCCACTCGGTCCGTCAGCTGCAAGCCGAGGCGGTCAAGCCCGTCCAACTCGTCCGTGTCTTGGCCGGCGGCTTGCAGGTCCTCCTGGCTCTCAGCCAGGCCATCTTGGCCCTCCAGGTCGCTCACCTGGCCCTCACCGAACTCCAGGATGGTTGGCAAGTTGCCTTGCTTGGGGCAGCGCTTCTTCAGGCTGACCAAGAAGGGCTGTGGCAAGGAGAAGATGTCCACATTGTTGCCGAGGTCGATCCAAGTGACGCTGGGGAACTTCTTGGGGTCCTTGAGGGCTTCGGTGAGGTCCCGCAGGACAGCCTTCGTGAGCCTATTGCCGTTGAGGGAGAGGGTGGTGAGGTGGGGCAGGGTGCCCAGCGCCGGCAGCAGCTGCAGCAGCATGTCGTCCGTCAGCTCGGTGAAGCACAGCTCCACCGTGTCAATGTGTGCCGCGCTGTGCTGCAGGTATGCCATGATGCGGTCCAGGTCCTTCAGCGTCAGCGGGATGCCTGACAGGTCTACCGTGTTGTCTGGTGGCTTCCCCATCAGCACGGCTTTCAAGCTGCAGAGAAAGAAAACAGCAGAAACATTAGCGTGGGGTGGTTGGCGCACTCCCTGGCAGCTTTCGGGGGGGCAGGAACGTGATTTATTTAGAGGAGACCTTCACGCAATGGCAACGGATAGCGCAGTTGGGGGCAGAGGGACATGGGAAGGCTGGTTTCCAGCTGGAAGGTGCCCAGCACCAAGTATAGCCTATACAAAACCATAACTCAAAGAGGGTGCGTATTCCTTTTCCAGGCCTGGGATAAAGAAGAGTACTCTGCTTTTAAAGGTACAAAAAAAAAGTGAAGGAAGCCCTTGGTTAGCTGAACAGGAACTGCAGCTTAATGCCACTGCTGGTATTGAGTGCTGTAATGCTCCTCACACTGATGATTACAGAAGTCTTTTAGCAGGAGGACACACTTTTGGGGCAGCTGAGGCCCCAAGCCGGAAAGAATTTAGCCCAAGACAGCAAACGTAGGCTGGACACCTCCTGGGTTAGGTGAGCCGCTCTAGTATTCCCAATGCGTTAGCCCTGTTATGTCTCATCAGCCGAGCTGCTGAGACGAGCGCTACAGAAACATCCGTAGAGAATTCAATGCAGCCTCACAAAGGCCCTGCAGAGGCTCATTAGCAGGAGCTAGGCTGGAGTTTCACAGGGCAATTTATCTTCCAGAGCAAACTGAGAACATACCTGCCGACAGACGACTGCTGCTGAGGACTTTTTGCTCATGAATTATTCTGAGTTAACGAGGAGGCCGACAGAGCCTCGTGCAGGATACCTGCTCGGGTCGACCCCGCGAGCGCCCGCTTCTCGCCTGCGGCAGCGGCACGTGCGCGAGCCTGATGCCAAAGCCGCCAGCTGCAAACGTGCTTCTGCTTTTCCTTACGTTCTGCTTTGAAACTAGCCCGTCTTGCCCGTCAAGGGGAGCTCTTTTACAGCTATCCCACGACGTGCGACCCAAGCAACCAGGCGAGCATCCTGACTTGTGCTGAGCTTCAGTTCCTCACTCATGCACAACGTTGCACAGTGTTGCAAGCCCCCAAAAGAGACTTTGGGCGAGGAACTTTTAGAAGAGAGGCAGAGTGGAAGGAAAGGAAAGTCTTCCTCCTCCTGAAGAATGATCCATTTATAACCACCAAAGCTTATTTTTGTTGTCCGGGTGATGCCTGCATTCACCGCTGGGCTGCGAGGAGTTTGCTGTTGCCACCTGATTTGCCACAATCCAAGGAGGAGTTCAATTCCTGCAGTTCTTACTGAAATCAACCCCCTAAAAGAGTGAGACTTTCCAAAATCATCATCCCCAGAATAAAGATCCTAAAGAGTGACAGGAAGGCTGAAACTGCAGGGCAACTTTTTGCTCTTCTACACCCAAATGGTTTCTCGTAAAGCTTTGTCACCACGTGCATCAGGTTCCCCGTGCACGGGCAGCCGGCCCGGGGCAGGACCATGCAGTTGCCAGGAACATCCTGGAGTCGCATTCCCGGCCCTCGCACGCATGGCCGGGATAGACGTGCCCAAGCTGAAACAAAAATCTGTAGCGCCGGTCATCAGGAAAGCAGATCTGGGAGCGTGGCAGGTCGTACTACGTGCCGTAAACGGAGCTGTGCCGTGGATATCCAGCCTGCCAAGGCTG